GCACAACGTGCGTTGTAAGTGCGGAGCACGTGCTTACTCGGTACGTTCCACGTGAGTTTTGCGTGCTCATTGGACAGTTGAACTGGGGATGTGGCGAGTAAGCATGGACCACGCACTTATCACGTGCGCAGCACGCACGTACTTAGTGCGCCTTCCGTGGAGCAAGTGACCGTGGGAAACAAATTTAAAAGACGTACGGAGTCAGTGCGTTGTGCGCTCGTTGGCGGTACCGGGCACGCACGTCACACGCACTGGGGGTGAATCAGTAGCCCGACCGCAGCCCGAACGCAGCGAAAGTTCCTCGTGCACTAAACGTGCTACGGTCTGTCTGCGTGCTCTCAAATCCGTACGGAGGCGGTACTCACCACGTACGGACACCTAAATTTTGCTCACGTTTTTTGCACGTAGACAGCACGCACTTGCAAGTACGGCGGGTTGTGACCACCGCATAAGACGACCGTGCGTCATCACTTCAAAGGCCGTACGGCAGTAATACATTTTGTGTCTCCACAAATTCAAAATACGCCGTGCGGTTACCCTAACATATGTGACCACTACCGTATGTGACCGTGGGAATGCTGCGGCGGTCCTTTAATTACTATTGGCCGTAGGTCTTATTTTAGAGACTAATAACGATAATGATAATTATAATAATAGTAAAAAATAATGATAACAAAATAATAATAACACAAAACCAACAACACACTTTGCATTTCAAAAGTGAATAACAAAATTGGTTTAGCCTATAGAGGTGATGGTAATAACCACTTTACCCACAAATTTAATAATTTTGAATCACCCACAAATGTAATAATGACTTTACCCACAAATGTAATAAATTTAAAGTGATATTTTGTCGAATTTGTTCAAAACTAAAACCCTGTAATAAAGCATGGGTATAGCTAACTACCACCTAGCTAACTACCATCCGGACATCTACCCCCAGTCAACTACCCCCTCCCCGGACATCTACCGCCGTTTTATATCAAGTTCAGTTGATGTTATCAGGTTCAATATTGCCCAAATTATAACCTTGTTTGCTTGTAAAAGACATGTGAGTTACTCCACCTTTTTATACGTAATAATTATTTTGGTTCTGTTACCGTCGGTATATTAATGAAACAACCTCTTCATTCGTTTGGAATAAAATACTTTCTATCTTACAAAATCTATGTATCCATCATTGCATCACTATGAAACCATAACCTCTGCAATTTACTCACATTGATTGAGAGAGTATATAGATAATTTATCAGTCAAAGGGTTCTGCAATCGTTCATTCAAAACATGCAAATATGTTTCGCGTGATCTCGTTATACAGCTATTTATGATTTCTTATATGAAAGTTTGCGTTGTTATTTGCTTGTTAACCGATTATCATTTCAGACTTGTTCTTGTTTATATAGCTGCTTGAGTGTTTCAGAAGTAGGGAAAACTGTAATATAAATGTGTTTTGTTTGTACATGTATTTGCCTTTGAATAAATTTCGTTCTCATGAATTCACACCGTGTACCGCGAACCAGTTGGTAGTCTTCAGTATAAGTAATTGATACGTTCATCACATGAAGAAAGGTAATTCATTCACGCACTCATGAAAATATAACATCGCAATCCAACGTTTCAATGTCACTAATAGCGTACATATATATATATATATGTTACATATCGTGAACATATTTCATAATCACATGCATAAAACAATCAGCGTCAATATTTAAATACATTTAAGGTCACTTATTCGATTACTTTTTTTTTCTACGAACATTGAATTCCAGGATATTTGTCGGCGTTAGAATATTTACATGATTAAAAAATCGTCGACGGTCAACGAACCATCGAATCGGTCCCTCCTCTGTGTGTTATATATATGGACCATTTTGACTGATTCGTCAGTTCGTGTGACCGCCGACCAATCATTTATTTGTGACGTGTTGTATCCACATATGTAATCATGTAATTTATTTGTAAATGAAAAAAAGAGGAATAAGATGGTGGGTCTTAGTTTCGAAGATTTGTTTAGATTTCTATTTCTTTTGAAATAGCCGGGTCTGGAGGAAAGACTACGCTCTATACCCATGTTTTTCCACAGGAATGAGATGGTGAGGTCTTAGTTTGGAGATTTTTAAAATTTTTTGAAATAACCGGGTCTGGAAGAAAAACTACGCTCTAAACCCATGCTTTATTACCGGGTCTTAGTTTGGAAGATGGTGGGGTCTTAGTTTAAAAGTTTTTTTTTTTTTTTTTTTTTTTTTAAACTTTTGAATAACCGGGTCTGGAGGAAAGACTACGCTCGATTCTCATGTTATTCCACAGGAAAAGGATTATGGGGTCTTAGTTTTGAAGATTTTTAAATTTTTTGAAATAACCGGGTCTGGAGTAAAGACTGCGCGCTATACCTATGCTTTATTACAGGGTTTTAGTTTTGAACAAATTCGACAAAATATCCCTTCAAATTTATTACATTTGTGGGTAAAGTCATTATTACATTTGTGGGTGATTCAAAATTATTACATTTGTGGGTAAAGTGGTTATTATATTTGTGGGTGAAATTATTACATTTGTGGGTAAAGTGTTATTACATTTGTGGGTGTTTTAACATTTCTTACATTTGTGGGCGTTATTACATTTGTGGGTGATTCAAAATTATTACATTGGTGGGTAAAGTGGTTATTACATTTGTGGGTGAAATTATTACATTTGTGGGTAAAGTGTTATTACACTGTCGCTCATAAAGGTGGAATATTTTAGTTTTACCCAATTTATGGAATTGTTTTAAAAATTATTTAAAAATAATAGATATAGATAATAGTATACATTCTCAGATTTTATTGAATAATAACTTGCCAATGTGTGTTTTGCGGAACTGCTAAAGCATGTGTATGCTACTATGCTTATTAATTAGGGGACCTACGCTCTCAAGTCATAAATGACATTAATGAGGATTAATGCCCCACAAAAGGGCACTAATATAGCACATCGACACGGTTTTGATCCTGGGGCCTCACAGTTACGAGGCCATTGTTTTGTCACTAAACCATGACTGTACGCAGCGGGGGCTAGGGTAGGGGGCAGTTTCCATAAATAAAAAAACAAACAGAAAATGCATTAAATTTTAAAAATTTATTGCATTTTACCCCGGTCCCCAACATAAAAAAATCCTCTGGACGGCTATGCATTATGGCTCAAGGCATGGGCACACGGAATTTTTTTTTATGTTAGGCACCGGGGTTAAATGCAATAAATTATTGAAAATGTATTGCATTTTCTGTTTTTTTTCTTCAATTTATGGAAACTGCCCCCTACCCTAGCCCCCGCTGCGTACAGTCATGGTTCAGTGACAAAACAATGGCCTCGTAACTGTGAGGCCCCAGGATCAAAACCGTGTCGATGTGCTATATTAGTGCCCTTTTGTGGGGCATTAATCCTCATTACTGTCATTTATAACTTAAGGGCATAGGTCCCCTAGTTGATAAGCATAGTAGCATACACATGCTTTAGCAGTCACGCAAAAATCACATTGGCAAATTATTATTCAATAAAATCCGAGAATGTATACTATTATCTAGATCTATTATTTTTAAATTATTTTAAAAATAATTCCATGAATTGGAATTTAAAAAAAAATCCACCTTTATGAGCGACAGTGTATATTTGTGGGTGTTATAACATTTCTTACATTTGTGGGCGTTATTACATTTGTGGGTGTAACACCCCCCCCCCCCCCCCGTGTTGTCTAGTTGTCTAGGAGTTGAACATACTGATGCATTACTTATTGATACGTACCGACATCGTTTAAACTTATTTATATCAGGAAAGCCCAACTGCCTGTGTTTTGTGTTGGTTCGAGATCTCGGGAAAGTTGACAGTTTTAGAAATTTCGTGAATTACTGTGAAGACTGGCAAACCCGTGAAGTTGGGTGGTTTAAAGTGACTCTCACACTCTGCCGTGTAGGCCTACCGTGTGCCACCGTGTGCGAAAATGTCTGCGGACGGTGGAGAACGGCGAGGGCACACGGTGGTTCGTTATCAAAGCGGGCAACACGTTAATAGGGCGTTGGCGCTTATTTACACCCGGTGGGACCCGGCGAAAGTTTTGGGCATGTTCAAAACTTTGGCCGGCTGGCACCGGCCGCAAGTAAGCGGCAAGAGGACGGCGTTGAACGGTATGAGGACGGTATGAATACGTTATGAAAACGGTCACACTGTATGAACACGTTCACAATACGCTCATAACCCGTTACAGAACGGTGATGAAAAATGGAGAGCGGACTGACCGTTGCCGTTCAAATCGGGGTATTTATGGCAGTCGTGTCATGACGTCAGCAGTCCGGGGACTCGCTCACAGGACGCTCCGAGCGGTGAGGGGACGCTAAGTGACTGGTAGGTGGCTGCTACAAACCCGGTGCACACGTTCGAGACCCGGTTTGGGCCCGGTATGGAAACGGCCAAAATTTTCAACAAAAGTCAATCTGGGCGGTGAAGACGGTAGAAGCACGTTCAACACCCGGTATGCGCCCGGTGAGAACGGTCAGAAGATGGCAACGAAACAGTGAAAAGATTAATTTTATGAATTTTTTTTGCGGCCGGGGACAAGTTCGCTCAAAACCCAACGTTCTGGACTCTGTTGTTTTTTAATAGCCCGGCAGGTGGACGGTAGGCCTACACGGCAGAGTGTGAGAGCTCCATTATAGCTATTACGTAGATGTTCGCTGCCTTTCATTTGCTAATTATTAATTGCTTTGTCTTGTCATATTAAGCTTTAGCATTGCGAAACGTACCATGATCGTTTCGATCAGCTTCACTTGGATCCACGCTAGATCCTAATTCGGATGTACTATCTTGACTGCGTCCTACCAACGTATCCGATCCCCATAATGACCTAATAGCTTCATAAACAGAGAGAGAGAGAGGGAAAGATACATTACATATCATCAATTACACACGTAATATATAAGACAGGACTACAGGTGGACCCAATCGGACATGTCAATACAGCTTAATGACATTATACATAGGGCTTATATCGGGGGGAAAAACTTTGTTTCCCCCCTGAACAAAAGAGGATTTTCCAGGTCTGGCAATTATCAGCTGGCCACTGCAGATAGACAGGGCAATCTTCCAACCAGTTACTGATATCCTAGATATTTTGTCGTCACATTCAACATCTTATTCACAAATGTGTCTGAGCTTAGTCTGGACTGCCCCGTCAATAAATATATTAAAAAGATAGTTAAACTGTTATGGAGGTCATATTAATAAGTAATTGTAATGGGAGTGTGCTTCTTAGGATAGAAGGTTCACAGCTGCCTTTCTCTTTTAAAAATTATATTTTGTTCAATCTTCAATTCAATTAAAGTAATATTATTTGTATAACTCAATCAATTCAGGAAAAAATAGAACATAATGAATATCAATTGATCAATATTGAGACAAAGTCTCTAGGTTATTGTTTGATCCAGTTCAGGGTAATATGTTAGGCAACTATAAAAACTGTGGCAAGTTCAAGTAGAATTTGAATTGTTAATGTGTACCAAGAGGGTCATAACGGGATTGTGAGTTAAAATAAGTGTATGCATCAAAAGCACCCAAGCATCAATTTGCATCATTCTGAAATCTGTTGTCATGCATTTTGCCCAGTGACAGTCAATAAATCGTCACATCACACCTTTGCTGATGGTATCCTATCACGGTTTTTCAGGACTCGTTTATCGATGAAGGTTTAGACCACTTAACGACATCATTAATTTTAGCAATCTTTGACATTTCATGGGCTATGTTTGTTATAAAAAACTAAAAAAGAAAACCACAGAAGAAAAAAATCAACACTGATGTTGTCATGCATTACTTACCGGAAGACGCCATTTGTCCACATGTAACAATCACATCCCCAACTTTGTTTAAAAGGCCTCGACTCTCTGTGACTTGTTCGGTCATTTCTTCGGGAAAATTTGACGCATTCTTCAGGAACACAAGCAGCTTTTCTCGGTCTGCTTTTTGCATCTGTTCTAGGACCTGCTCTTTCTTCTCGATATGTCCGCATGTTATCTGAAGGCTGGTAGTCTCGAAGGCCTTTGGTTGCTTGGACCTGAATGAACCCATGCGAGATGATTGACCTGTGTGGCTCACATCATCAAAGTCATGGACGATCACCCCTATCTTGTTCTTTCCTAAAAAAAAATCAGAAAACAGGATTTTTTTTCTTCCCAAATAGCATAAAATATTCCAGCATGATACAACATAGGGTTGATTTTATATCTAAATTATGTTGTCGAGAATTTGTCAAAGATTATTTTGTTAACACGATCGTAGACATTGCCCATTTTCAGACCTATCGAATTACACAGAATCACACGCAAAAATATATAAATAAAGAACAAATGCCACACTACGAATGTCTAGGGCATCGTTCGAAGGGTATATTTGAGGTTGCACCCCTCCCCTCCCCCCTAGCGAAATCTCTGTTGACAATTAAAATCAAAATGTGCTCCTTAACTGTTTTCGGCAAATCTCAAAACTTAATCTTTTCTGTGGGTTGAAACATAACCAAAGAATATCTGAAGGGAAGCGTTGCATAATTATATTTAGAGCCACTTGCACTTCTTACCTTTGCCCTTTGTAAATATGACGATTTTTGTTTTTGTTGAGGGGGGTAGAGATCTTCAACTAACTTGTCTGAAAATGTGATCAGACAGGACCCACAATCAAAATGAACTCGCGAAACCCATTTTATTCACCATCTTACAGATCATGCAGACATGTTTTCTGGCAGTGCATCACAAGGAAGCGGAGCATTAATTACCTATGACACTCTGGCAATATGGAAGGTACTCATCGTACAGGGCATCTTCGACGTCTGTGATGACAAAGCTTCTGCTTTTGATAGAGTGGCACAGAAGCATCACATCAACCGGGTTTTCCTCTGGAAATGTATAATGATCGAGATCGTTGTACGGTAGCGCATGGACCTTGACTTCTTTGATCAGTTCCGGATGATGCTCCTTAAGATCTTTCAAGAAGGATACAAGACCTTTTACGTTGAAGTCAGACGCTGATGTACACACTGAGATGGATACAGGACGGTCTTTGCTGACATGCTCAAGGGATTCCTCTGCATCCACAGCAGGGAGTGTAGTACCCCCTGCTTCAACTCCCTCTTCATTAGCTTTCTGCTTCGTGGTTCCATCTTGTTTGGTACCATCTTCGGTAGCTGCAGCGCCCTGTGCTCTATTTTCCGTAGCTCTCTTTTCTTCTTCTGACTCTGTGTTTAGATTAAAGTTCATACAAGCATTTAAAGCACTGGTTTTTAATGTCGCAGATTCTTATGAAGGTCAAAATTGATTGAGATAATGGAAACTATATTGTCTCTATTTAAAAAAAAAATTATTTACTATTGGATATTTTCCAACAGTTGTAGTAGTCTTCGAATACATCAAACACAATATCGATAACAACGTTCAAGACAATGTAAAATTTCTGAAAACGACCCCTTTAAATTTGAACAATAGGGGTTTAAGCGGGATTAGTTCTAGTGTATATTCAAAAGATTTGAACACGTTCAAAATTTGTGGCGAACAGAGAGATGGTGGCGATCCTAAACGTCTTCATGTGAGATTACCATAATATGATGATTTTATAAGAAAGAAATGATAAGTCATTACTCGGGCATGCAATGTATGTTAGCCAATCCTTGTGCACAGCTCGAATGTTTGATATATCCTTATGGAGATGTAAGGATACGTCTTTATATTGTATCAAGTATTTAACCCTATAGTGTTACGAATATGCAAATTAGATGATTTATGAATATGCTAATTCCAAGATGTTGCTCGAGTTGTGTAAATAAACCAAGAATTCGGATCAAAAGGTAACCAAATCGTCTCGGTTTTCTTATTATATAAATATAATTCTAAGTTGTGAAAGGGCAAAATATGAGTTAATTGCCCCGACCCAACAATAGCTCGGATCAGAAAAAAGTGAAGTGAAATGACACATACTATGTAAATTTAGGACTTGGTACTTTGGACTTGCCCACTAATAATTATCAAACTAATCCCTATTCTTTCATTGCAGCGCACCTGTCTTTGGTTTGGTTTCTTTGGGTTCGGAAGAGGCATCAGTTATCTGCGGTCCTCCACTTTCCTCTCCATCTGTCTTTCCCGAAGTGTCAACAGAAGCATCTTCAGTATGGGGGTCAAGTCCCGTTCCTGGCAGCACTGAAAGAAACAAATAATATAATGTCGATTTAAAGGGGATCACAGCAGAATCATTTTATAGTGAGACGAGGATATTACCGATCACCTCTAAGGTTACCATAATCCCATTATTGTATTATGAAGAAGTGATAAGTCATTACTCAGGCATGCAATGTATTTAAGGAAATCCTTGTTCCTAGCTCGAATGTTTGTATATATCATATGGAGATATAAGGAAACGTATTCATATTGTTACAAGTATTTAACCCTACTATAGAGCTCGGATCAGAAAAGGTGAAGTGAAATTTATGAATTGGCAACGTACGGGACATTAAATGCCTTGGAAATACCCACTAATAATCTTTCCCAAGTAATGATTTCATAATTTAACTCAACTTTATTTTTAAATGGACAATAAAGTCACGTAAAAAAAACTGATGTTCGTTCCTTTAAATATCCCTTTCATTAAAGGTCTATAAAAAACTACTATTAAAGTGACAAAGCTTTTATTTTAAATTCAAATGGGTTTACAGGAGAGTCGGTATCCGTTTTGAAACTATCATTATCTTCACTTAATTAAGAAAGAAATATAAAACGAAAAAAATAATGGCAGTTGCAGAAATATTTAGGGTTTAAGCAGATTATTTCAAATGATGGGGATAAATAAAACTATATCGCTTGTTTCGTCGGTAAATTCTTATGAAAAAATAGAGTTAAGTAAACACTCCAATATTTAATTGAAAACAATAGCAGTAATACAAATATCAAGAGTATTATTATTCCTTGGATTATTGCAAATAATGGTAAATCCTAATGAGCAAAGAATTGAATGAACATTCCAATCATTCATTGCTATTTTATTTATGTTTACTTATCTATCATTACACATTGAGAACTGCCACTATATTGCTTGTCGTGATTAGGCCTATACATTCTTTAGGTCTATCCAAAAGAAAATAGGCCTATTTAAACACAAGACAATCTGAACAGCGTTGGGGCCAGGTTAGGGTACAATTTTCATTTTAGAATTATGCAAAATTAATTGAACGGCTTATATACATGAATAAGTTGTAACAAATTTATCATTCGCAGAGAATTCAAGCTGTAGCACTGATTATGCCTACCTTTAGGACCTGGGCAGGCGTCTGTCTTAATACCATCAGCCACATTTTGATCTACGCCATTCCCTGTATCGCGTTCTACTCCACACTTCTCTGGTACTTCGTTGTCTGCAGTCTGAGTATTTTCTGCCTCTTTGGTGTCACTTGTGCCATTTTCTCCTCCGTTTTCCCGCCCTTCCTTGCCCTCCTTCTCCATATCCAAATGAAGTTACCACGTGTTCAAGGGGGACATATTGAGCTCTAGATGTAAAGAAGAAGGTTTAAGTTTTGAGCTCATTTGGCAGAGTATATATGTTCATCTTTGGCGAAATTGACTTCATTCAAGTATAAAGTCAAGCTATAAAAGTTATCATAACTGGTATACATGTATTCTGCAAGCATTTTCTTAAAATATTTTATTATCTAAAAGTATATGATTTTAAACAATGAATTTAGGTTTTGAGACTTAAGTATATAGAAATTTAAAAAAATATTTAGAGAGAGCGGAAAAAGATTTCTATTAATGCTGTGCTCTAAAATCCGATTCAATTGTTGACTTGGCAAAATCAATATTTCAACCAATTCTGACAGGATAATTGGATGAATGATTTTTTAATTTATTGAGACTTAAAAAACAGTGAACGACTGAAATTAATGATGAATTTAAAAGTAGATCTGAGCTATGGTATCTAGCTTACGATTTTCCTTTATCATTCGACGCATTTAATTGTTATATTTATATGTAGACCCTCCATGTCATCCGCTTATTTGATCGCCGACATCACAAACTCTAGATCAGGCCTTCTCAACTAGTTTGTTAGAAGTGCCAAAACGAAATGTAATTGAAGTTGAAGTGCTAACCTGTATGTTTGATGACTGTGCTGCGAGGGAGCGTAGTGACCAAGCCAAAAACGCGTGGGTTCCAGGGGCCCACAATAAGGGATTTTAGGGCTTTTTAAAGGCCCAGGTGTGGCACTTTTAACACCTTTTTATTCCAAAATATATCAATCATAATTTCATATTGATGTGAAAAAGTTAGTACAATGCCTGGGTACACACTGGAAGTAAATTTGTATGTAGTTATTGTGGTGCAATAAACACGGGAAATGCCAAAATTAACATGGTTATTGCGACATATCACTTTCGCCGACCAGTTTTTCCACTTAAAATGTCGCAATGCAGTATTGTTTTGCTCGATGTATCCCGGAAACCCGCGTGCGGACCAATCTAAAAATAGATACACGGTGTTTCCTCAGACCGGGAATGATAAACATTGTAATTTAGATGAACATCTGCACAACATCATACAATAGTCCTGTAGAAATTTTTCAGACCTGGAAAAGTTGATAAGTACAAGGTTTTTGTGTGGGTTCATGTTCTAGATGGGTATTGAAGTAAATTCAGCTTGGTTGCCAGCTCGGCAACCTCGAGCAACTTTTTTTATAGCCTAATTAGCATAATCATCTAATTATCATATGTGCAATATGTAATAATGTTGCTAGTCTCAATCCAGGAAGCCTGAAAACATGGATATTACGACTTTTCAAGAGTTCTCTATGACAAGGAATTCATTTATAACACCAATTTTTATTTTTAAGTAATACAGTAGTCTTAAATATCATAATTAACATATTATGTACAATATATGGACTCCATTGTCATTGTTTATCTATAAAGCCTAAAAATGGTGCAATGCAACATTGTAAATCACTTTTGAAAGATTAATCATCAATTAATGAGAAGATATTTCAGGTATATGTAGTATAATTAGCCTAATTAGCATAATATTCTAATTAGCATATTATGTGCAATATGTAATAATGTTGCTAATCTCAATCCAGGAAGCCTGAAAACATGGATAATACAACTTTTCAAGGGCTTTATATGACAAGGAATTCATGTATGACACCAATCTTTATTTTTAAGTAATGCAATTGTCTTAAATAGCATAATTAGCATATGTACAATATATGGACTTCATTGTCATTGTTTATCTATAAAGCCTAAAAATGGTGCAATGCAACATTGTAAATCACTTCTAAAAGATTAATCATTATTCATGAGGAGATATTCCATGTATATGTAGTATAATTGGCCTAATTAGCATAATAATCTAATTAGCATATAATATGCAGTATGTAATAATGTTGTTAATCTTAATCCAGGAAGCCTGAAAGCATAGATAGTGTGATTTTTCAAGGATTTTCCATGACGAGGAATTCATTTATGACACCAATATTTTTTTTGGAGTAATGCAATTGTCTTAAATAGCATGATGAGCTAATTAGCATTATGTACGATATACATGTATGGACTTTATTGTCATTGTTTATCTATAAAGCCTAAAAATGCTGCAATGCAACATTGTAAATCACTTTTGAAAGACTACATATTAACTCATTAGAAGATATTCCATGTAGATGTCGTAAAATTAGCCTAATTAGCATATACACTGTATGTGCCATATGTAATAATGTTGCTAATCTTAATACAGGAAGACTGAAAACATGGAAAATATGACTTTTCCGGGGTTTTCCATGACGAGAGATTCAGTTGTGACACCAGTTTTTATTTTTAAGTAATGCAATTGGCTTAATATGTAATTATTGTACTAATGCCTAATTAGCATATATGTAGAATATCAATTATTTGGGACTCGAGCTGGTGGCAGAATTCCCGGAAAAGTCATATTATCCATGTTTTCAGACTTCCTGGATTGAGATTTATTTAGCAACATTATTACATATTGCGCATATTTGCTAATTGGGCTAATTATACTACATCTATACATGAAATATCTTCTTATGAATTAATAATTAGTCTTTAAAAAGTGATTAACAATGTTGCATTGCACCATTTTTAGGCTTTATAGATAAACAATGACAATGGAGTCTATATATTGTACATAATATGCTAATTATGATATTTAAGACTATTTACATGAAAATAAAAATTGGTGTCATAAATGAATTCCTTGTCATCATAGAGAACTCTTGAAAATTCGTATTATCCATGTTTTCAGGCTTCCTGGATTGAGATTGGCAACATTATTACATATTGCACATATGCTAATTAGATGATTATGCTAATTATGGCTATTAAAAAAGTTGCCCAAGGTTGCCAAGCTGGCAACCAAGCTAAAATTACTTCAATACCCATCTAGAACACAAATCAACAAAAAACCTTGTACTTAACAACTTTTCCAGGTCTGAAAACCTTCTACATGACTATTTAGGCTTCCTAGATTTAGGTTGATAATTGATGTTCTACAAATATGCCAATTAGGCTTATTATATAGTACAATAATTACATATTACATCAATCACATTACTTAAAAATAAAAACTGGTGTCATAAATGAATCCCTCGTCATGAAATACCCTGGAAAAGTCATATTATTCATGTTTTCAGGCTTTTTTTTTATTAAGATAAGCAACATTATAACATATTGCACATAATAATTAGATTATTAGGCTAATGAGGCTAATTATACTGTATCTACATGAATTATCTTCTCATAAATTAATGTGTCGTCTTTCAAAAGTGATTTACAATGTTGCATTGCACCATTTTCAGGGTTTATAGATAAACAATGACAATGAAGTCCATATTTTGAACATATCCTAATTAGCTCATTATGCTAATTATGCTTTTTAAGACAATTGCATTACTTAAAAATAAAAACTGATGTCGTAAATGAAATCCTCGTCATAGAAAACCCTTGAAAAGTCGTATTATCCATGTTTTCAGGCTTCCTGGATTGAGATTAGCAACATTATTACATATTGCACATATGATAATTAGATGATTATGCTGAATTAGGCTATACAAAAAGTTGCTCAAAGTTGCCAAGCTGGCAACCAAGCTGAATTTACTTCAATACCCATCTAGAACACGAATCAACAAAAAAAATTTGTACTTATCAACTTTTCCAGGTCATGTAAATGGTCTATGGTACCGTCTACTGGACTACAACCCAAACTTCAGGCAGATAGGTCTGAGGAAACACCGTGTATCTATTTTTAGATTGGTCCGCGCGCGGGTTTCTGGGATACATCGAGCAAAACAATACTGCATTGCGACATTTTAAGTAGAAAAACGGGTCGGCGAAAGTGATATGTCGCAATAACCATGTTAATTTTGGCATTTCCCGTGTTTATTGCCCCACAATAACTACATACAAATTTACTTCCAGTGTGTACCCAGGCATTGTACTAACTTTTTCACATCAATATGAAATTATGATTGATATATTTTGGAATTAAAAGGTGTTAAAAATGCCACACGTTGGCATTTAAAAAGCCCCCTCGCAGCACAGTCATCAAACATACAGGTTAGCACTTCAACTTCAATTACATTTCGTTTTGGCACTTCTAACAAACTAGCTGAGAAGGCCTGGCTTAGACTTTCACATGCCCTGTGCACCTTGACTGAAACATATGTTTATATTTTAACCGGGAATATGTATGAGAATACTATCTCTCTATCGCCGCACCAATTATTCGAGGCGTGTATACCATAGAAAAACAATCAGCAGGAAAAAGACTCCAAAAATAATGGATATTATCATTTGTCTATTTTACTGTGAAACATGATAATTGATAAACATATACGATAAGCGAACACAACGTCTATGCAGCTGTCTTATAATCATGACATAGCCAAAGAAGCAGAAAGTGAATATGAATAATATAACGTCCCACACATAACAAATGAAAAATACAACGTTTAGGTGTGTCTACTGTCTATTCACCCGTTACATTTGCACGGTCAGTTGAAAGAATCTATTGACGTCTATGGTCTTCCGTTCTCCGCCTTGTTCTTTACAAACCAGGTTTGTAAAAAACGCGTAAAAACGCGTCATATGACGTACGAAAACCAAGGTTTGTCGACAGACCTCCTTTGTGATTTCGGGCCATTAGGTTTGTTTCACGATTTAAGAGCAGAATGAATTAAACAAAACAAAATTAATTTTAAAAACGCTAATTAGAGGCACAAAGCGCACCACTACAAATGCTCAAGTCTGATCAAACTAAGCAACCTTAACCCTCTCAATGGATTATATTAAAATTAAAATGTAAAGAATGGATAATTAAGCATTATCCTAACATCCAAGTATCAATTATGGACAATGTTAAAGTCTTCAAGTAAAATTACTGATATTTTGTTAATATTTCTACTTACACTATTTTTTGTACGTATGTATTATCAGATAAAAAGAGTATTAGTCTACTGAAGGAAAAGAAATTAGTAGGATGCTTT